ATGAAAAAATAATATCATGACTAAGTGGGATTCATACCAGGTATTGCAAGGATGGTTCAACATTAGAAAACCAGTCAGTGTAACCATCAGATAAATAAAACAAAGGAAAAGAATCACATGTACATCTCAGTCAATACAGAAAAGGCATTTGATAAAATCCGACACCCATTCCTAACAAAACTCTCACCAAATAGGAATAGAATGGAAATTCCTCAACATATTTAAAAAGACCAACAGCCAACATTATTCTCAGTGGAGAGAGACTGAAAGCGTTCCCCTTGAGAATGAGAACCAGACAGGGAAGCACTTCATCACCACACTTAAACGTTTAACATTGCGTTGGAAGTCCTAGCTAGAGCAGTAAGACAAGAAAGGGAAATAAAAGGCATTCAAATTGGGAAGAAGAAAGTAAAACTATCCCTATTTGCGGATGATAGGATCCTATACATGGAAAATCCCAGAGAGTGCACAAGAAAACCCCTGGAACTAATGGAAGGATTCAGCACAGTGGCAGAGTACAAGATCAGCCTACAAAAATCAGTCAGATTCGTCTACACTAACAGAGAACTTCAAAAAGGACATCAGGAAAACAATACCATTTACAATAGCCCCCAAAAAGATAAAATACTTAGGAATAAATCTAAATAGGTACATAAAAGATTTATACAAAGAAAACTATAAAACACTACTGCAAAAAACCAAGAGACCTTCATAAATGGAAAAACATACTATACTCATGGATGGGGAGACTTAGCATTGTGAAAATGTCAACACTCCCCCAAACAATCTATAGATACAATGCAATCCCGATCCAAATCCCAACACCATTCTTAAATGAGATGGAAAAACTAATCACCAACTTTATATAGAAAGGAAAGAGGCCCTGAATTAGCAAAGTATTATTGAAGAAAAAGAACAAAGTAGGCCTCACACTGTCTGATCTCAGAACCTACTGTACAGCCACATTAGTCAGAAAAGCCTGGTGCTGGTACAATGACAGACACACGTAGACCAGTGGAACAGAATTGAGAACCCAGAAGTAAATCCATTCACCTATGGACACCTGATCTTTGACAAAGGGTCATTAAACGGGGAAGAGATAGTCTGGCAGAACTGGATCCATGCCTCACCGCAAACACAAAAACTGAAAATGGATCAAAGATCTAAATGTAAAACCTAAAACTATAAAGTGCATGAAAGAAACAGGGACAATGCTAGGGGCTCTGATTTATGGCATAAATAGAATATCAAGCACAACTAAAAATGCACAAACTCCAGAAGATATACTAGATGACTGGGACCTCCTAAAAATTAAATACTCATGCTATCAAAAAGTTTTTCCAAGAATGTTAAAAGACAACCTACAGACTGGGGAAAAATCTTTGGCAACAACATATCTGATATAGGTTTAATCTCTAAAATATACAGGAAACTTCAACAACTCAACAATAAAAAGACAAGCAACCCAATTACACAGTCAGTGGGCAAGGGACATGGACAGACACTTCACCAAAGAGGACACTGAGGTAGCCAACAAATGCTTGAAAAGATGCGGTCATTAGCCATTCCAAAACCAAAACCAAACCCACCGCTGTATTGAGTGCTTTCCAACTCATAACAACCAATGAAGACCTTAAATCCCATAGGGCTTCCAAGGCTATAAATCTTTATGGAAGCAGACTGCCACATCTTCCTCCCACTGAGCAGATGTTGGTTTCAAGCCGCTGACCTTTCAGTTAGCAGTCGATCACTTTACCCACTGCGCCTCCAGGGCTCCTTCATTAGCTGTTGTTGTTAGGTGCCATCGAGTGGATTCCGACTTACAGCGACCCTATGTACAACAGAATGAACACTGCCCAGTGCTGTGCCATCCTCACTGTTGTTGCTGTGTTTGAGCCCATTGTTGCAGCTACTGTGTCAGTTCATCTCAGTGAGGGTCTTCCTCTTTTTCACTGATCCTCTACCTTACGAAGCATGATGTCCTTCTCCAGGGGCTGGCCCCTCCGAATAACATGTCCAAACTACGTAAGACGAAGTCTTGGCATCCTTGCTTCTAAGGAGCATACTTCTTCCAAGACAGATTTGTTCGTTCTTTTGGCAGTCCGTGGTATATTCAGTATTCTTCACCAGCACCATAATTGAAAGGCGTCGGTTCTTCTCTGATGTTCCTTGTTCATTGTCCAGCTTTCACATGCACCACCGACCTTTCAGTGTAAATAGTGACTGGTTTAGAATGTTAACACTTGTTTTGTTTCATTTTATTTTGCTTAACTCTTAAAACTTTGATCTTTTTGTTTAATTGCAGATGATTGAATATGTAAAAGAAAAGAATGATTTGTTAAAAAAGATATTTATATACATACACATACACGTGTATGTGTGCATAAACTGAATTAAAATAGGGTAGAAAATTGACCTTTGATTTAACTTAGCATCTTAGCTAAGGAACTAAAATGCTTAGATTTTTTTTTTTTGCACTGACCCTCCAATGAAGACCTTAAGCCATATTTTTGTGTGTGATTAATTTTGCAACACCAGCAGTTCCTTTTTCTGGAGATTTGAAATGGAAATGAGATGCAACTTTGATTTGTTAAATAGTCATAAATTCTTCTATCTGCAAAGCAGTTAAATCCAGAAGCCTTTGCAAACAATGTTTAAGCAGGCCCTTAAGGTAGTATTTTTCTAAATTCAGTTTTTATGAACACATTACATCAGTCTTTTTATTTAATGGTGGGAATAACAAACAAGTAGTTTATGCTTAAGGAGTCCTGGCAGCACGTTGGTGAAGCCCACGGCTGCCAACCGAAAGGTTAGAACCCACCAGGTGCTCTGTGAGGAAGGTACAGCCATCTCCTTCCATAAAGATTACACCCTTAGAAACCCTGTGGCCAGTTCTCTGTCCTATAGGTTTGCTGTGAGTCCAAATCAACTCAGTGGCAACTTAGGAGATCTTAGGGGGTTGGCTAACACCCTCTCTTTCTGGAAGCTTTTGCATGACTTCGGAGCATTTCAAAATGGAAATTTTTGTTTTAAAATTTTTAAATATGTACAAAAGAGGAAGGAATAGTATACTGAACTGTTATATAATGAATAGTTACAATGAACTCCCATATTCCCATCCTCCATATTCAACAACTTTAAAGATTTTGTCACACTTATTTTATCTTTGGTCATTTACCTTTTTTTTTAGGAATCCAGATATCATGTCTTTTCCCACGTGTACTGAATTTACATCTATAAGGAAAATACAGACATTTTCTTACCTAACCGCAGTGCCATTATCACACTAAACAAAATTGACAGTCATTCTTTGATATTATCTAATGCCAGGTCCATATTCAGATTTCCCCCATTGTCTCAAAAATCTCCTTCTGCAGCTAGTTTATTCGAATCAGGATCCCAACAAAGGCTACATATTATGTTTAGTTGGCACATGTCTTAAGTCCATTAATGTAGAACTGTCCTTTTTCTTTTTAATTTTCAGTGTATTAGCTTGAAGAAACAAGATCATTTGTCCTGAAGAATATTCCATGTTCTCAATTTGTTATTTATGTGTGAAATTGTTTCTCTTTCTTTTTATTTCTATAACCTGGAAATCAGCTCTCAAAGTGTGATCAGATTCAGGTTCAACTTTTAAGCAAGAATAACTCATAGGTGTTACTGGCTACTTCTTGCTTTATTTTAGGAGGCACATGCTGTCTGTGTGCACCACTTTTAGTTATGCTAAGATGATAATGGGCTCAGATGCTTTGGCCTGTTGCTTTCCTTTTTTCTAATAGTTTCTTAAACTTATGATCATTGCCTATATTACTTCTTTGGGGCTGCAAAATGGTAATTTTCTAAGTCTGTCATTCCTTTCACATTGACAATCTGGACTTCTGTAATGAAGAATTTTCCTTGTTAACTAGGGCTATTTGCTTATGCAGAAGTATAGTTCTTTAAGGTAAGGTAGTATAAATGCCTAATTCTTTTCCTTAATTGTCAATTTGGGGATTAAGAAGTTGGTGTTAAGTAACTTCCAAATAGTTTGATTTGGTATTTTTTGTTTTTCAGTATTCTTATTCAGTGTGGTTTTTTCCCCCCTTCTAAATTTTATTTATTTTGTTGTTGTTGAGAATATACACAGCAAAACATCACCAGTTCACCAGTTTCTACGTGTACAATTTAATGACATTGATTACATTCTCTGAGTTGTACGACCATTCTCACCCTCCTTTTCTGAGTTGTTCCTCCCTCATTAACATAAGTCACTGCCCCCTGAGATTCCTGTCTAAGCTTTTGAGTTGCTGTTGTCAGTTTGATCCCATATAGATAGTTCTTAAGAAAGCTTAATGCCCAAGGCAGACATTTTTTATTAGTTAAGCTTAACTATTGTTTGCTTTTAAGAAGACTTCAGGGGATATTTTTGGTTTAAGGTTTAAAGATTATCTCAGGGCAATAGTTTTAAGGGTTCAGCTACCCTCCATGGCTCCAGAAAGTTTGGAGTCCCTGAGAATTTTAAATTCTGTTTTGCATATTCCCCCTTTTGATCAGGATTCTTCTATGGAATCTTTGATCAAAATGTTCAGTAATGGTAGCCAGGTACCATCCATTTCTTCTGGTCTCATGGCAAAGGAGGCAGTTCGTTGGAGGCTAATTAGCCACACATTCCATATCCTCCTCCTGTTCTATTCAGTGTTTTGATCAACTTCTGGCATTAATCTTTTTGATGTTCAGACTGTGATGTCATTGGCCAGTAGGAGCTCCTTCACATTGACTCCTATTTAGAATTGGTGTTGGCCTCATGGTGTTAAAACAATTTTATTACTTTGGTTTGAGCTAATAAAGCTACGTGAATGAGTCCACAAGTGACAGATATCACTTGACAGAACATATGAGAAATTTATTTCCTTGATCTAAAGTGTCCTGTTTTCTAGAAAGCCATGTTTTAATGTTTCAAAACTCAGAAGTTTTGGATAAATGACTTAACTCCTTTTCCCATGTTGTGTTGTGTCTAACAGGCCAGGGTCAAGCCCCACCGGACCTTCAGATTCAACGAATGTGTCTGTACACCATACAATGCAGACTTTGATGGCGATGAAATGAATCTTCATCTTCCTCAAACAGAAGAAGCTAAAGCAGAGGCCCTTGTTTTGATGGGGGTATGTAGGGTGGGGCAGCCCAGTGTTTGAGGGAGGTGCGTGTCCTTTTGGAAACCCCACTGCAACAGGCAGTTCCAGCAAAGGCATGCTTTTCTCTTCTTAACTCTACTGTTAACAGCGGTACTACTGCATCTCTTTTTACTGGTTTCTTTTGAGTCTTTGAACATTCTCTTTGGAAATTATGGTACATAACTGAATTAGTGTCTATAGCGGGTCTTATTGGGGGGATTGGGTATTATTTTCTGATCTATAAATATGAATTCCTGAGAGAAAATATATACAGTTCTGAAAAGATAAGACAACATAGTAGCAAGACCCTGGTATTGGGTATCATCGGGGAAGGAGTTGTTCTACGTAAGTAGCAGGAGGTTCTTTGAGCACCACTACGTTTTATTTGAACAGTCTGAATGGAAACCTTCCTAACGTGTGTTACATGCTTCTTTGTCTTCTTAAAGGACACATTAAACAAAATCACTTTGGAATGACTCTTAACCACCATTTTATTTTACAGTTGTTTAAAGAGTGCCCGTTACATGCTGAAGGGGTTCAGTGATGAGTGAGGCAGGAACCTGCTCTTAAGAAGCTTACGGTTGAACTCTTAAATGTTGTACTACACGTACATGTAATACATGTATGTCCTACATGTAGTGTTCATTACCAAACGCAGCATAACACCGTGGTACGTGGTACCTGCCATGTAGGGCTCTTTCCTCCTAAACTTCATGGTTCTGAGCAGTTGAGCTTTTAGAACTTCAGTTTATTTCATTTCCAGTGTTCCAGTTTCCTGTTTTATCAACTGATATGTCTTGTGGTTGTAAGTGTTCCTACCTCCAAAAACACTTTTTATACCCTTTCTGATGTGATACTTATAATCTATTTTGGTTTAGGTTGTTAGTATTGAATCTAAAATAAATAACATTAAGTTCTGTGAGAGAAGATTCTCTATATAAAGTCCATGCAGATTTGATGGGGGACCGGAAGAGGGGCTGCGTTCATGGACCGTGCCTGGGTCCTTCATGGCTAGAGTTGACATATCTCTTCTGATAAATGAAGTGTTTACTATATTACATATTTTGTATACATGTTTAAGTTTTCGTTTAGGAAATTTAATGCTTCTAAGAAATTCATGTGGCTGTGATCCCCAACTTTTAAAACATTGATTTGTATTTATTTAAACTTTATAGTATAATAATGGGAAATATTTAAATAGTGTAAAGTTCCTACATCTCACAACTTTTCCTTTTTCTTTATCTCCAAATCTTGTTTGTTCCTTATTCATGGATTTAGTGTTTGTGAAACCCAAAAACCAAACGGTTTGCCATCAAGTCAATTCCAACTCATAGCGATCTGTAAGACAGAGTAGAACTGCCCTGTAGGGTTTCCAAGGAGCGGCTGATGGATTCCAACTGCTGACCTTTTGGTTACCAGCCAAGCTCTAACCACCATACCACCAGGGCTCCAGAGACAAGGGCTCCTCCGGAATTTGAACCCGGATGTTTGTGGGATGGTTTATGTAGTAGCTTTTTTCCTTTTTTCTGCTTAACATATCATAAATATCCTATGTTGTAGAGTCTTCATAATTATTGATTGCAATGGCTTCACAGTATTTCAACAAGTTAACACCGTAATTCATCTATCCTCTGTTGTTAAAAACATAGGTGATTTTCTTTGTTCTGCTGTGATAAGTAATTCCATAAAGGCCATCTTTATGGATTTGGAGTCTTCTTTTGAATGATTTCGTCGGACTCTTCAGCCTTTTAAAATGATTTAGTGAATGCTTATTGCACCTACCCTGTGCCAGGCACTCTTCTTCCTGTGCGCACAACAATGAACAAGAAAGTCAAAATTCTTGCTTTCATCCCCATTCTAGTGTGGGAAGACTGAGAATAAACAAATATCAAATATGTCAGGTGGTACTAAGTATTAGGAAGATCAGAGTAAATCGAAGTAAGGAGGAAAGAGAAGGGTAGGGATCTTGTTTTATATAGGACAGTCAGGGAGGGCCTCTAGAAAGGTGACATTTGAGCAGAGATCTGAAGAAGTAGGAGAATGAGCAGTGTGGAAGTCTAGGGAAAGAACAATCCAGGCAGAGGAGCAGTGGGCGAAAAGGCCCTGTGGTCTGAGGACCTAGCCTGTTTTCTCCTAAGCCTCGATATCTACAGCAGTTGTGATGAGTGCTGGGTTGGCTGTTGCTGGATTGTGAGAGTAGAGAGACTGGATGATGGGTGGCAGGGGCGACCCATCATAAGGGAGAGTGGGTGTACCCCCACAGCCAGAGGAAAAATCTATCAGTATAATCATATTTTTTGATGTGATGCTCTCATTTCTATTAAGCTGTCCTAAGGAAATAATCAGAGATGCAAAATTTTTTTATAACAATAAAACATTAACCAAAAGCCAAACCAGTTGTCATTAAGTTGATTCCAACTTATGGCAACCCCATGTGTGTAAGAGCAGAACTGTCCTTCTTAGGGTTTTCTGGAAATAGACAGTATCCATCAATAAAGAATTAGTTAAATTAAATTATGACACATTTATAAAATCAATTCCTGTGTAGCCCTTAAAAATAATGATGTATGCTTATTGGTATGGAATTCTATTTATGATTTATTTTTTATTTAAAAAGCAGGTTATGTGTATATGATATGATCCTATTTTGTTTGGTAAATAGAGGCTTATATGTTTGTGAAAATGGTTACTACAAAAAGCTAGGAGTGTTCTGTACTAAAATCTTAAACAGTAGTTCTTTCTGTTTGATAATTCCATGCATAATTTTGTTTTGTGGGGTTTTTTTTCTTTTATGTCTATATTTTTAGATTTTTTTCTACAATGAACTTAGTATTTTTAGAATAAAAAGTAATACTGAAAATGTGGCTAGTGATGAGAGCTCCCAGCCTGCAGTCAGCCAGTTAGACTTCACCACTGAGGATCCACACGGTATTTTGTTATAACAGCATATTTCACTGATTAAAAATGACGATGATAGTACCTAAAACCACTGCACTGTACACTTAAAAATGGTTAAAATAGTAAATTTTATGTTGTGTGTATTTTACTGCAATAAAAAAAAACAATTTTTAATGACCAGGATATGACGCTCCAAGGATATTAGAACAGAAGACTCCTTCGTTACTGTCTGGACAGTGGCCTCAGTTTCCTGTGAGAACACTGGTATCTACAGTAGTGGCTCAGCAGTCCTGTCCTTAGTGGAGCAGGGGAGGGCTCTAGGCTGGAAATGTGTCCAAATTCCTCAGGGGATTTTTCCAAAATACACCTGTCTCAGTCCCATGCACTCCCTCCTCACAGCCCCTAAATCAGAAGTGAGGGGAGCAGCCAGGAACGTGTGTAATAAAGAGACGGTCTGGTTGAACAACACTCCCCACCCCTGGTGAAAGATGACTGCCCTGTGTAGTGGTTCTGAAGAAGGCAGTAACGGGTCTCTGCTTTGAGGACCTGTCACTTGGTAAGGAGGCCAGGAAACCCCACAAACGCACACGAGCAGCCTCCTCATCAAGAGTAGTGCAGGTGCACTCTGATGCTGAGAATTTGTTAATTATATGTCAACTAGCACCATTTTTTTGCCCAGTGTAGGCACTCATTAAATGTTTAATTGAACTCTGTTGTTAAATTGATGGCTGGTAGAGTTTAATGTCTTGACCAAGACAGTTCTGTCATTGTTGTGAAGAGTGGAATTGGTTGACATCAGAGGTATCACACTGCTGCTCACCACTCATAGAAGTGAATTGTCTTTGGAAAAGTGAATTTATCAGTAAGAGTGATGTTTTACCTGTCCAGTATTCTTTACATGATTCCAGAACAAGTGCACTCGGTATTTCATTTTAGTTTTAGTAGGAACTTCTGAGATCTTGCTGGTATTGTTTCTCTCATTTATAGTTGAAGGATCTGGAGTTAGTAATAAAGCTGGGAATAAGACCATGGCTTCCTTTTCTTGACTTCATCTTCTTTCTGCTACCCTTTGTTTGTTCATAACAATTAGAAGTCATCGTGGTGCAGATCTTGGGGACTGCATGGCACGTCCAAGAATGACTGACCTATCCTGTTTATTTTTCCTTCAGACTAAAGCAAATCTTGTAACCCCAAGAAATGGGGAGCCACTGATTGCTGCTATTCAGGATTTTCTAACAGGTGAGTTTGTGATGTTCACTCCAAAGGAGACTTGTAACTATGGAATGCAGTGATTATGGTAATGTCTCACGTGACGACTTGACAAACTAATTGCTGTGTTTAGTTTTGTTGTTTGTTTACTAAGTTTGGTTGTGAACCTACTTGAGATATTTTTTGTTGGTTGGATTATTCATGGCTTCAGCAAGTATTTGTTGAGCCCCTACCACAGGCCAGGCATTTTTCTGGTCACTGGACATACCTGGTGGAAGCGAGAGTGGGAAGCTTGGGGAGGAGAGAAAAGGGGTCCCTAGTCCCTGTGTAAGGAGCCCCGGTGGGGCAGTGGTTAAACATGTGGCTGCTAACCAAAAGGTTGGCAGTTCGAACCCACCAGCCACTCCGCAGGAAAAAGATGTGGTAGTCTGCTTCCATAAAGATTACAGCCTAGGAAACTCTATGGGACATTTCTGCTCTGTCCTATAGGGTCGCTATGAGTCAGAATCAACTTGATGGCAGTGGGTTTGGTTTGGGTGTTTTTGGAGATACCAAAACCAAAAAAACAGTTGCTGTCGTGTCGACTCTGACTTATAGAGGTATCTTATGTAGCAGAGTAAAACTGTGCTCCATAGGCTTTTCAGTAGCTAATTTTTCAGAAGTGGATCGCCTGGCCTTTCTTCTGAGGTGCCTCTGGCTGGACTGAAACCGCCAACTTTTAGGTTAGCAGCTGAGTGTGTTAACCATTTGCACCACCCAGGGGCTCCCCTGGTGATGCCACAGTGAATAAAAAAAAGTCCCTTTACATCTGGGGCTTAGATTCTAGTTGGGGGACAGAGCCAGTAAACAGGGGCATGTTTAACTTGCTGTTGTAGTAATGTTCCAGATTTATTCCCAAATTTATATTGTGGTTTTCTCACAGTTTCATTCCTTTTCTTTGTTTTGTTCTTTAAAATTCTTAGGTGCCTATCTGCTCACCCTTAAAGACACTTTCTTTGACCGAGCCAAGGCTTGCCAAATCATTGCTTCAATCTTGGTTGGCAAGGATGAGAAAATTAAAGTTCGCCTTCCACCCCCTACAATATTAAAGGTTGGTGCAGCAGCTGTGTGTGTACATGCACACATGTGTGTTTGTATCCGTATGGGTGTGCCAGTGGAGTTAGTATAACTGCTGGTGTCTGTAAACCAAGTCTGAACTTTCTACCAGGTTCGAGTGTGATCACGGTACAGTCTGGCCTTATTTGCATGCAGGGCGGTTGAGACCAGGCTCTCCAAGTGATACTCTGGCTCCTCTCCTCCTTCAGCCTGTCACCCTGTGGACCGGAAAGCAGATCTTCAGTGTCATCCTCAGACCTAGTGATGACAATCCAGTGAGGGCCAACCTCCGAACCAAGGGCAAGCAGTACTGTGGCAAAGGGGAGGACCTGTGTGTCAATGATTCCTGTGAGTCAAAGGAACTGAGCTGGTGGGGTGGGCGGGGGTGGGGGGTGCGTGGAAGAAAAGCAGATGGCCAGTGATCGGCTTTGCGGATACCTTCACTGGGCAAGCAAAAAAGTCTGGTGTTTCTCAGAGGCCTTAGGCAGGAAGTTTATTCTTCAAGAAACTAGTTGGTGTTTCTCCTCTCAGATGTGATTCACCATTTTTCTAAAAGGAAGCTTATTGGCATGTGATCCAGTTGTTAGACTCTATCTTCTCTAAATGTGTTGAAGTGACTGGTTTTTGTCAGCTAATGCAATTTGTTTTTTGTTTTGCATTTTTTGTTTTGTTTTGCTATCAACGGAAGCCTCATTGTTTAAGGCATATAATTTATTTTGTGTCAAAAATGTGTTCATTGTCTGAAAGTATGACTGACAGGTATAACTTAGGAGACCAGTGTGTGTTTTACTTACTTATTTTTATTGTGCTTTAGGCGAAAGTTGACAAGAAAAAATTAGTTTCTCATTAAAAAAAATTCCCCATTTCCATTAGTCCAGTTTTCGTGTCCCTTCCTCCCCTCTCATCTTTGGTTTTGAGCGGGTGTTGTGCGTTTGGTCTCATATACTTGATGGAACTAAGAAGCTCGTTCCTCACATGTGTTATTGTTTGTTTTATAGGCCTGTCTAATCTCTGGCTAAAAGGTGGACTTAAGTTTTCACTTAGCAGGGTGGCCGGGGGCCATAGTCTCGGGGGTTCCTCCAGTCTCTATCAGACCAATAAGTCTGGTCTTCTTTGTGAATTTTAATTTTGTTCTTACCTTTTCCTCCTGCTCGTTGTGGGACCCTCTTGTGATCCCTGTCAGAGCGATTGGCAGTGGTAGCAGGCATAAAGACCAGTGTTTTTAACCTGTCTCACCAGGTCAGTGGTTTTTGAAACTTGAAGATTAGGTGTAACAGTGACAGATTTAAATCCCAGTTATCTGAGTCACGTAGAATAGTACAACTCAGCGCGTGATGCCATTTAGCCAGCTGTTTATGGTGGGTCCACTCCAAGATAGGGAGCTTGCACCACAATGTAAATCAACTAGGTCACTAACACGCTGTTCACTTCAGGTGACTTTTTTCTTGTAGCACTGTTTAAAGGGGACTCCATTGATTGACATCCTGGCGTGAGCTACTTATCTCATCCCACACCCCAAGCAGTTCTCAACAGGCTGTTGGGAGGAGCTCTGATTTAGAATGACCTTTGCCAGCAAGGCCTTATGAGTAGAAACGGATCTCCAGGGCTCTGAAGAGCTGAATCTCAGAGTCTCTCTGAAGGCCAGGAAGCCTGCTGTCTCCTAAAGAAGAGTAAATATTAAAGGATGCTGATTTTCCTCACATTTATAAGCACTCCTTTGAAAATTTACTCTTTGGTCTTTAAGATATTTTGGCTTCTTGTTTTGGATTATATTTTATTTCTTTCTAGATGTTAATTTCATTTTGTTGTTAATGTAGGTTATTCATGATGATGCAACTGTTAGTTTTCAATGTCTCAGGTAAATAACAAATTGCTTTAGTTTAAAGAGGACTTTGCTCTATGTGATCTCATCTGATGTTCAAAATATACCCATGACAAGGATGACAAGTGCTTGCTCTTGTCATCCACAGTTCACAGAAGAGGAGAGTGAGGGTCAGCCTAGTATGTTACAGAGTTAGGACTACAGGTTAACTAGCTAGGCCTTTCATACTTTGCGGAAGTCCCTAGGCTTCCCTTTATTTCTTAAAAAAAAATCTTTAAAGAGTTATTTCTATTTGCTCTGCTTTAACTTTCAGTATGGGAACATACTTTTTCCACTGCCTTAAATTCTTTTTGGAATGAGGCAAAGTAATAAATAATTCATTGTTTGTTTAAATGCATAATCATTTTCATCCTTCTAGATGTTACTATCCAGAACAGTGAGTTGATGAGTGGCAGCATGGACAAAGGAACATTGGGATCAGGATCCAAGAACAATATTTTTTACATTTTGCTGCGAGACTGGGGGCAGAATGAAGCTGCCGATGCAATGTCCCGGCTTGCCAGGCTGGCTCCTGTCTACCTCTGTAAGTACCTCAGCGTCCTCATTTTATTGCTATAGATGTTGGGGTTTTAGGCTGTAATGTTGTTTTTTTTCTTTCAGTGTTATTTCATTACCCTCTGTACCCAATCCCTCTGCACACATACACAGAAATGGATACTCCAGGCTAAATTATTTGTGCTTTTCTTAATCAAATGAACTCAGTACTCATTAGTTGCAAATATGAATCTGCTTTTCAGTTCTCTTCTCAAAAATCTGTTAGTAGCTCCTTATTCCCTATCAGATACGGTTATGGTGCATAAAAGGCCCTTTATGCACCTACTGTAGCCCTCTGGACCTTCCATGATTCGGCACTACCAGGTCACTCAATGTTCCCTACCATCCTTGCACTATTCCATTTCCTTTGTCCGTGGTTTGAGAATGCCATGTGTGAAGCACATTTTGCATGCCTGAAAACATCTTTATTCTACTCTTATAGTTTTTTTTCCTACCCTTATACTTGGTTGACACTTTGGCTGGGTGTAGAATTCTAAATTGAAAATTATTTTCCCTCAGAATTTTGAAGTTATTGCTCTGCTCGATTCTAGCTTTCAGAGTTGCAGTTAAAAATTCCATTGCCATTCTTAGTCCCAAAATTTTGTATTTGAATTGTTTTTCTCATTCCGGAAGCTTTGAGAATCCTCTTTGTTCTTGGTGTTCTGAAATTCACAATGATACAGTTTTTTTTTTCATTCATTGTTCAGTAAGCTTTTTAAATCTGTAACTATGTATCCTTCGGTTCTGGAAACTTTCTTGTATTATTTCTGTAATGAGTTTCTCTCCTTTACTATGTTCTTTCTGTTTAGAATTTCTTTACCTTCGTATTAGACCTTCTACATTGATTCTCTAACTTTCTTAACTCTATTTTTTTCCATTTCTTCCTAATTTCAGGAAGAATTCTTTGACTTTATCTTTCAACACTTTTTTTTTTCACTCTCATGTATTCAAGAAGCCCTGGTGGTGCAACGGTTAAGCGCTCAGCTTCTAAACAAAAGGTTGGTGGTTTGAACCTAGCCAGCAGCTTCACAGGAGAAAGACCTGACAATATGCTTCCATAAAGATTACAGCTGAGAAAACACTATAGGGCAGTTCTACTCTGTCATATGGGGTCACTATGAGTCAGAATCAACTTGAAGGCACACAGCGACAACAGCAGCACATATTTACTTCCCAGTTGTGTTTTTCATTGTATTTGCAGATGGTTATTCATCCTTTTTTTTTTTTCCTTTCTTTTTTTTTTTTACTGTTTTCTTGTTCTTGACCCCTGGATGTGTCTCCACTGATTATTCATAATTTTATTTGCTCTATGAATTTTCTGTTTCTTTTTAGTCTCTTTTCCCTGTGTATTTTTTGTCTTGTGTCTTTTATGTTAGAGACTTTCCAGTCAGATTTTAAGAGTTAGGCACTGAAGTTTAGCTTAACTAATAAAAGCGGTCTGCCTTGAGCATTGTGATCTTTTAAGAACTGTCTATGTGGGATCAAATTGACAACAACTCAAAAGACTGAATGGGAACCTCAGTGAGTTTATGTTAATGAAGGAAAAACAGCTCAGAAAATGAGGGTGAGAATGGTTGTACAACTCAAAGAATATATTCACTGTATTATACTTATAAAAACTTGAATTGGTGTTTTACTGTGTATGTTCTCAACAACAACCAAATAAAAAAAATTTTAAAAAGAAAGTAAACTGGGCTAGAATTCACAAAAATGATCCAAAAGTCATTTGTTGATATCAAGCATTTCTTGACAGTCTCGTCCAGGCAGTGGTACATCCTTTTGTGGTATTGTTACAATTACTTTTCCCAGATGCAAAATTAAACCTAGGAAACCATAGCTAGATAAAAGCTCCTTTCATTAAGTCTATGTAATCCTAGAAAGTTATTACCCATAAAAATTAGGTAACACATTATAGTGAAACCAGATTGTTGTGCTCAGAACTTATTTTCAGTAGTAAATAAAGTATACTTACTGGTGCAGAGTACAACTTATTAAAAACTGATCTGTTTTTAGTCTGAATTCATTTGAGTCAGATTGTATCCTAGATAGAACTAGGCAGTCCAACCAATGTTAATTCTGTGATTAATTAAGGAATTATAATAAGTCTTGTCTGACATTCACTAGATTTGCAACCATTTTTTGACACGAAGATTAAAAGAAGGCACACAGACAAAAAGAGTTAAGCAGTAAAACACTGACTGGAAATGGAGCTTATTGTTAGACAAACCTCAGTTCCTTGATTATGCTGGTAGCCAGCTTTTTTATTGAGGGACTACCAAGTATCCCTACTGGTAACGCTTTTCTCTAGGGATGCTTGGTTTCTCCAGAGACATCTCTTCCAGTCTCAGTACCCTACCGAAGGGGGGCCACCCGGGTTTTGGGAGCTGGGCAGGGTAAGGGGCTAAGGATCCCAGCCATGAAATGTACACCCTTCCCCTCAGTGTCCTGGTTTTCAGTCATCACATCTGGCTGGTCCTGGTATCTCCAAATCTGGAGACTCTCTGATTCCATTTCTTAAGGAATAAACTCCCATCTCCCACAGGAAGAGGGACTGGAGCCTGTTTGTATATAGAGTTTCCACCGGTTTGCCAGCACATACATCATCTCCAGCATCTGCAGAACGTGGTGATTTAGATTCTGAACCTCTTCAGGTTTCTGCCAGGCAGGCTCAGTTGTCCTTAGACATCCCCTTACCCTCCCTGCTAAGCCAGTCGCCACTTAACCCATCCACTTTAGGATTATTGATGGCGCCTGGTTTCATCAAAAGTGGAGTTTATGTTTGTTTCTTGTTCTTTGGATTTTGGAATGGTTTCTGAGAAGGGAAGAGGGCAGAAAGGTCTCCACTATGCCATCTGAAAACCAGAAGTCAGATGGCTCGCTCTCCACAGTTGGCTTCCTTGAGCTACACTTTAGTATGTAATATTGGTCTGTTTTACATTATAGTTAGTTGGGAACATTATTGTGTCCCCCACTCTGGGAGAAGTCAGTGAGTCTTAGTGGTTTTATAGAACTTCCTAGGGAATGATGCGCTAAGTTTTTAATTAATTGAATTATGGAAAATTCTGTGACAGTGTAAACTTGTTTCCACATGGTGGGTGTACTGAGTAATATCCATGGCTCTCTCTTCCTGCTCTGCCTGCCAATTATTCTACAGCTAACCGGGGATTCTCCATTGGGATTGGTGACGTCACACCTGGTCAAGGACTGCTAACGGCCAAATATGAGCTGCTGAATGCTGGCTACAAAAAGTGTGACGAGTACATCGAGGCCTTAAACACGGGCAAGCTGCAGCAGCAGCCCGGCTGCACTGCTGAGGAGACTCTGGAGGTAAAGTGTCTCCTGGTTCCATTTGGCCACTTCAGACGCATTGGGAAATAAAAAGACATCCACTGGGCCACGGAGAGAAGGTAGCAGAGGAGAGCGGGCATCAAAGGTAGCAGCCGTCATCCCATCTGGACCCTACGCCCGTTGTATGTGCTCTTGTTGGTTTGTGAAGTGAGGGGCTCCCCTCCGTCCAGCTTTCCCATCTGAGGTGACAAACGACAGCCAACTGTTCATTGGGCCAGATGAGGCTGCTCTTGTCCCGACGCCACATGCTGGCCCCTCTGTAGCTGGTGCGTAAGTGCTTCTGTTCTTTCTGCTTTCCACATCCTTCCAGTAGAAACTGGCACCACAGCTCTTTGGATGGTCTTTGAAAGAGACTTGGATACATAAGAGGGAGAATTTGTGTTTAATAGCTACATAACCAATCTGCTGCCCCTTCACATTTGAAGCTAGATTAGCTGAGAACTCAACCAGCTCTCGTTAGAATCAGAATCACCACTAGCCTCCGAGAGCCCTGCTTTCTCTAAAGCCACCAGGTGGCCCAGTCTGAGACCACCAGTGTTTTGCTGGCTTTCTTCTGCCTCACCCGTACGTAGTCTGTGGCTCAGAGCTTTCACTCACCCAGGTATGAGAGAAAGGCTCTTTAAGCATTACAACTTTTCTGATTAAATGAGTGTTTTGAAGCATGGAGAAAGGTATTCTCCCTAAGATGTTTGCTGTTCACCAATGAGGTATTCATCGTTCATCATTTCACTGAGTCTTTATGTTAAAAGGAAAAATAAACGGGTATTTCTCACTGGTACCTACCTAGAAAATTACTCAGGACCTCAACAGCACTCGTGTTGAATGCAGCCATGACTCCTGACTGCTCTAGCTCCTAAGTTGTGAGTTGAGCTCAGGCCAGAATATGCCTGTAGAGTCACCTCATCATGTAGTTAACTTGAGGAGTTCAAGTGTGTATGCTTGGCAAAAAAATAATAGACAAAATTTTATTTAAAAAATGCAAGCATTTCTCTTGTACAGCCTATGTATTATCCTTTATCCACTTACACTGTGCGTTGTGGTATAGGCTACTATATACGAAGCTGTGGACATGCTGCTTTATGGGCCATTTGAAGGATTTTTCACGTTCCTTGTTACTAATCAATTTTGCCTTCACAGTGATTTTAGAGCCCTTGTGTAAGATGCAGGGCTTGATGGATAGGGAATTTTAGTCCCTAAGACTCTGAAACCTTTATCGATTACAATCTACCATCTCTTAAATTTTTTCAAAGTTGTTTTGATGTCAGATGGAAAATTTATAACCAACAGTGCCAGTGAGGATGACCCCACACGTGTGTCTCCCCCGTCTCTGACCAGGCATTGATCCTTAAGGAGCTGTCTGTGATCCGGGACCATGCGGGCAGCGCCTGCCTCCGAGAGCTCGACAAGAGCAACAGCCCCCTCATCATGGCACTTTGTGGCTCGAAAGGTGAGTTTGCTCCTCTTGGGGCCGCTTTCATCTTGTTCTCCATGTGGGCTGGCTGTTTTCGTTCTGGAAAATGTATAATCATTTTATTTATAAGGGTATATGTTTTGAAATAATATATAGCAAGAGAGAGAAAGAGAGAATTACTTGGCCCTTAGGAATTTTAACTCCTTTGGAAGAACTTTTGGCAACGTGTATACTGGATTTCTGAATTTGGGGTGCTGTCTTAGGCTAGGTTCTCTAGAGAAGCAAAACCAGTAAAGCATATAAATATATATAGAGAGAGATTTATATCAAGGAAACAGCTCACGCGATTGTAGAGGCTGGAACATCCCAAGTCTGTGGATCAGGATAGGCGCTTCTCTCAATTCACTTAGCCGCAGGGGCTGGCAAACGCAAGATGCGGTAGGTCGGAGAGCAGGGCTCCCACTCACAGGCTGTGAATGAAGATCGACGAATCTCAAGATCAGCAGATAAGCTGATAGCTCAAGTCAGACCAACAGAAGGCAGCCACAGGATCCAGAGCGAGCAGAAAGCCAGAATGTCGTCTTATATTCAAATGCAGGCCATACCCCCAAGGAAAGTCCCTTTCAACTGATTGGCTACTCACAGCAGATTCCATCATGGGAGTGATCACATACAAACACTGAGAATCATGGCCCAGCCAAGTTGACACACAGTCTTAACCATCGCAGGTGCTTTCGGCAAACTTGGTCTTTAAACAAAATAAAATAGGGATTTTTTAATAATATGTTTAGTGATGTGGCAAAACTTTTAAGACCCAGGAACTTAAAGCATTAGGTTTCATGATACTGCACTCAAATTCAAAACCTTCAGTGCTTCTCCTATTTCTATAAATTTTTTTTACAGAATGAAGTCCAGTCTCTAAGTATGCTACCTTTCACCCCATTATTCTCCTACTTCCTGCTCATGGTACATAGCCTGCACTTTTCTGTCCATTCCTGTGTCTTTCTTTCCCACTCCTCCACCCACTTTGGACTTCCTCCCCCCACCTCTCTTTATGTCCAGCTCATAATGTTCTCCCAAAGCCTGACCTGATTGCTGCTGCCTTCTCCGAGACTCCCCTGACTCTCCCCGCTCTCCGTCTGCTACTATGCACCTGTAGCCCTGGCTCTGCCTTCATGGTGTCACCGACAGCTTTCTGCCCTGTTACTCTAGCTCTGTTGTTGGCTACCCCGGACTGTGAACTTGTGGAGGATCAGGCCTTGTGCTGTGGTAGATTCTGTTTTGTGCTACAGCACTGCTTGCACTTCATTAATGTTACCTGGTAAGTGACTGTGCCTTCCTGACCTCTCTCCCCAGGTTCCTTCATCAACATATCACAGATGATTGCCTGTGTGGGACAGCAGGCCATCAGCGGCTCTCGAGTGCCAGATGGCTTTGAAAACAGGTCCTTGCCTCACTTTGAAAAACACTCCAAGGTAAGCAGTAGTGGATTAGGCAGAACTTTTAAGGCAGAGCATCAGCAATTCAGAACAGGGTAATTGAAGTGTCTCCTGGAGGGCTGCTGGAAAGGATGGGGGCAGTTTAGGGTTCTTCCCTCTTCACCCCAAACTAAGGACCTCGTTGTGCTCAGAGCTGGAAATTTTGGACCAGTCCCTCTGAGGAGCAGGATGTCAGATTGTGGTCCAGCTTACTTAAGTAGTCAAAATGTATAGTGCCCGTCTAAATGCATATATTGTGTGTGCTTGGTTTTTGGGCACTTAGAATAAAAGTATGAGGATTTTAAAATAGTGTTAGTATGAAGCATATTAAAATGACCAGAACATTCCAGGTACTCTCTGGAAGTCTCGAGCTCACCTTTTCATTAACTTCTGGGTTCCATTGGCCCCGGCGGTCTGGCCTCTGGTGTAAGCAGTGTGAGAGGGAGAAACACATGCTGCTGCTTGTCCAGGACTCAGGGACAGACAAGCCTTAAATCTGTAGTTAGGAACTCAGAGTAGATTCGGTCACTCCGTCAATTCTGGATCTGAAGTCAGCTGTTCCCTGTAGAGCGTAGATACTCCAGCTGCCCCTGGCCCCTGGAACTCCAGCGTTTCTGCCTAGTGCCCACATCTACTGCCCATAGATGGGACTGCTACACTGAGCATGTGTAGATGCTCCCTGTAGGATAGCCCCAGGTCAGCATTCCCCAGGGGCCAGCAACCAGATGGTCACTGAAGGGGGACCTGGCAGGTCCTATTTCAGGCTGCGAGCTCTAAGGCAGCCTGACTGGTTTAGAGGGATGGCGAGGACCTCCAGACTCCCAGTCCCTGACCCAGTGCTAGACTCTGGGACAGCTGTGCTGACCCGGAAATGGCTCTGTGTACACCAGCAGCCCCTTAGTGAGAGGGGAACGTGAAGGGCCAGCCTGGTCATCTGCGTAGTCCCCTAAGAAGCACGGACCTGTCCAGATCAAAGGCCATTTCACACGGTTAGATTGACAGATAATAGACATACAGTTTTATTGAGATACATTTCACATACCCTAAAACTCACCCGTTAGAGCATCCAGAGAGGGCTGCACGATCTGGCTACGCTGCGTCAGTTCAGTGACTTTCAGCATGTCAGGCTGGGCAGCCATCACCACAGTTTACGTCAAGAACATTTTCAGTACCCCAAAATGAAATCCCATACACACGAGCAATGCATGGTTAAACTGTGGAAGTAGGCAGGTCACTGGCCCACAGGAATCGGCTTATTTCCAAGGAGCCAGCTGCCTCAGTCACCATCCACTCTGAAGTGCTTGACTGCTCCACTGGCTGCTCCAGGGGAGGGCCAAGCGCAGCTTCCCCTTCCCAGGCCCTTGCTGACCGGCAACCAGCTTCAGCCCTGGCTGGGCTCTCACCCTGATCTGTCTCTGGTAAGGATGGTTTGTGCCAAATGATTCCTCCTTTAAGAGAGGGAATATAAAGCCTGCCATTTCACAAGTGTGCCTAAGCTGGGTCTTTTTAACCTAAAGATGGGACATTTTCTGATTGGAATGGATTTTAATTGTGGACCTTGAATTGTTTTTGCTTGATTTTGTTTTTTCCTACTTCTCTTTAGCTCCCAGCTGCCAAAGGCTTTGTGGCTAATAGCTTTTATTCTGGTTTGACACCAACTGAGTTTTTCTTCCACACAATGGCCGGCCGGGAAGGCCTGGTGGACACGGCCGTAAAGACAGCTGAAACAGGATACATGCAGGTAACCTGAAAAATGCAGGCCACCGGCAGTGGAGCAGCACAGGGGTCTCTGGGTTTGGACTGATGAATGTTTACATATTGTGCACACAAAATATAATTCATCTGGTCTTGATATTTAAAGGAAACTTTGGAAGTGTAGGTGCCCTAGAAATAGTTAATAGATTCCAGATGTAACCCTTATCCACCTCGAGTGCTCAAGACAAGGCAGGGGTCACCACAGCTCCAACAGGGAGAACGTGGCCTGGAAGTACATCCTGAGATGTGTCGTTTAACCCTGATGAGCCTGTCTCCTAATACCTGCAAGTGGGCGTGTTAACTCATACCTCCTGGTGTTGAGAGGACTCAGGGAAAGCACTCGGCAGCTGGTTGTGTAATTCATTATTAAAAATCTTTCCCGTTGACCCCACTCAGCCTGTTCCAGGGCCTGCAGGGTGGCTTGGACAGTGAGAAGGAAGACTTTTTCTCCTCTGTGTGTATCATTACAGATATAGGCGTGGGGTACAGGGCTAACCTGAATGGTTCCTTGTCTGTGCTCCTCAAACTTTGCCACTAAAGTATCTCTGGTGGCAGAGGAGTGTGAAAATACAGCCCTACTGTGTTCTGCCATAAGACCACAAGGAAAGAATTTCTTTTCAGTCTCCAATTAAATTTTCTACTCTCTACTCCATCATTTAACTTTCGTTTATTTTTGTTTTTTAAATGTTTTAATGTTTGTAAGTACTTAGACCACCAGGTCAAGTCAGTACTCCAGGGAGCTGGGCCCTGCACTTGCTGTGGCTTTGTGTCCCTCTGTTCCCACTGTGTATCCCACTGTCAGAGGCAAGCCAGAATCCAGGATAGATAAACCCGAGAGGAGTGAAGGAGTGGGCTGGAACCAGCAGGGATGATGAGGGTAAAAATGGACTCCATTCAGTAGATGCCTATTCCCAGAACCTCTTCTGTCCTCATGAATCGTTATCTGAGGCTCCCTTTTAATCATCTTTTGATGAGAAATTACCCTTCAGTTTTGGAGCCTGCTACTTCTGACAGAAACCCAACAGCCTGTGAAATGCTTTTAGCACTTTTGCCACAATGTGTTTTGACTCTGTTTTTTATTCTTACCTTTTTGAAGCAGAGAATCTGACCTTCCCAGAGCAGTGTGAGTCTAGAACAGATGAACTGTGGCATGAGAGATTTTTGTTCTGAAGTTGCTGGAGGAAGATCTCTTTCTCTTTAATTCACTGAACCACCATCACGTTGCTGGCTGGTGCATTCTGCTGGTGGAAGTTTCTCCCTGGGTAGATTTGGGAAATGGTTGCTGCCTGCTGGGTCACAACAATGCTGTCCCTGTTCTCTCTTCTGTCCCTTCTGTCCCAGAAGAGGGCCTGCGCCTGATCCTCTGTAATTCATATTGAAGTCCTCAGGAGTCCTGGCTTAAGATGTGTTTAAAACTGCAAAGCTGTTGCATTAATTTATACCTTAGGGAAAAAGAGAAGGAAGGCAAAACAGCCTAGGAAAACAATGTTTTGGGAGTGATGGGGTTTAAATTGCCTGTATTCTAATCTGCAGTATACGGAAGTGCTGAGGGCAGGAGCACATTCTAAGTACATCACACAGACCAGTGGGACAGTCTTGGTGGTGGTGTTCTTGGGGTGGGGGACTATTTTACGGGAGTTCTAATAACGTGTTTTTATGTGATTAAAGTACTTGTAACCTTGAAACTTTGAGCACAGATCTTATCCTCCGCACACACAGCTAGTCTTTAAAAGCCGCTGAGCTTTTTCGTTTCCTCACCTTCTTTTTCCTTAGAGACGGCTTGTAAAATCCCTCGAAGATCTCTGCTCACAGTACGATTTGACAGTCCGCAGTTCTACCGGAGATATTATCCAGTTCATTTATGGAGGAGATGGCTTAGACCCTGCAGCTATGGAGGGAAAAGATGAGCCCTTAGAGTTTAAAAGGGTTCTGGACAACATCAAAGTAAGACTGAGCATCATATCTGGGGGTAGAGTGTTTTCCAGGAAGGTTCTTTAGAGTGAGCATCATATCTGGGGGTAGAGTGTTTTCCAGGAAGGTTCTTTAGAGTGCAGTACCATTTGGAATATCACACAGTGCTGCAGCCGTGTCTGCCCAACCGTTGGGTTAGTGTTTTCCTCTTTGTGTTACCCTGCATAATTTCCCCAAATGTTAAGGGGTAAAAAAAAAAATTCTATTGAAAGCCTGGTATTGGTAGTAATTAATAGAAGAGGGCCATGGCTTCTCTCCGTGTCTAGTCAGGGAGCGTGGGAGAGGCCATTTTTAGAAGTCACGGATGTTGAAATGCTGGCACATTTATATATAATAAGTAGGAGTATAATATGGAACAACCTTTTCAGAGGGTAGTTTGACAGTATTCATCTGCATATTAGGTGTGTGTGCCTTTTGACCGAACAGTTTCACTTACAGAAATTTACCCAACAGAAATAATCTCAATGTGCAAAGACTGTTTCTTGCAGCAGTTTATGGTGGAGGTAAACTGTCAGTAGAGGAGTCAGATACAGTACGGTCTGTCAGTAGACTAGAATAGAGCCATGCCTTGGGGGAGACGATATTTTCATTCTTGAAATATTTGGGTTTTTTTTAACAATTTATATTTTTAATGCAAATCTGGGGATGGAATGGGGGTTGGGAGTAATGGAACAATACTCCCTGAATAGTCCAGAGTCTCAGTTTATTCTGTTTTCACATTCATGTTATAGAGTCTAAACTTTGTTCTGAAAGGAAAAAAAAAATCACCTCTTGCTGAAAGTTTACTCCGGGTAATTTTATAAGGTCCTCTTGTCTCTTGTAAGTTCTTATCTTGAATACTGTCCCCCGCTCCGTCGCTCCCGCACATAACACGATTTCTCTTTAATACTCGAGGCAGTCTTCCCGTGTCAGAATGAGCCTGCTCTCAGTAAGAACGAGCTGACCTTGACCATGGAGTCCATCATGCAGAAGGACGAGTTCCTCTGCTGCCAGGACAGCTTTCTCCAGGTGAGCGCCGATGGGGCTGGGTCGCGCTGGCTTCACTGTCGTTAAGAAGTGTGTGATCTTTTAAGCTGGAGTTTTAATGTAGTGGTGTTCCTTTGCTAAAAAATTCAAGAGTGGCCTCAGCAAGGTCTCACCAGCCAACGTGAAAAATTTATCTCGTGTCTTTCTTAGTTTGTCTTTCATGTAAGTGTTTCCCTATTCAAAAAAAAAAGCTTTACAGAACTGATTCTGGTGTTTTTTTTTTTAATCCAATCCCTATCACCAGCCCTCCACCCACTTTCTTATCCTGTAGGTCAACTTGTCCCTCAGTTATTCTGTACCCAATTTTGTTTTAAGTAGTAGTATTGTTTTAATACCAGTTTTTGAAACTGCTCTTTCTCTAACCATATTATGGGTCAGAAATCCACTGAGCCGGCCCTCCTCCCTCTTCCAGGGAGCTGTTTTCTTGAGCTGTCCTCCTCAGTTTTTTTGGTTTGTTTGTTTGATTTCACTGACCTGCCCCAGCAGCTCCTTCATGTTCATAATCATGGTTCTGATCAAAAGCAAAGGGTACCAAGATCAGTAAATGGGTTCTTTGGGTACCAACTGCTCGTTCAAATGCCACACAAGATGTACAGGCAGAGTACGAGTGTATCCCTCCCAGGACTTCCAAACTGAAAACAGTAAAGTAAAGGTTAACTACAAGTGTTTAGTTAGGAAACGCTCCACTCCTTCCCTTCGTGTGTTGAGGTGTGAAAGTTGAAAAAGAAACTCTTCCATCAGGAACATGGCTAGGTAGTGAGTGCTTTGTTTTTGTTTTTTTCCCAGAGCCTTTAAGTCTTCTTTTTTTTTTAACTAGCAAATTAGCATTGTAATTTGGTTTTCCTGTATTATTATGTTTACTTATTTATTTTTCTGTTTATCTTCCAAGACCTTAACTGAGACAGGTTATGAGAAATATAACAAGGTAATATGATCAGCATGCCTGTGAGTTTTGAGCACAAAGGAGGTGCCTCTAGCAGCCCTCCAGCGATTTGCCAGCATTGGAGGTGTCAGATTTCTGTCCTGGTTCTGGCAAACATGGCTTGTCTGTTCACGCTTTGGACTGCTTCTTTCTGCCTTTGGCGAGGTTTAAGGGTGATCTCTTGGCCTGCAGTGCCCATTTACTCAGTGAGCTCATCTGGCACTCACTGGATGCCCACTCTGTCAGATCCTGGGACACAGAGAACTAAACGTAGCCTCACCCTCCAGTCGCTCACAATCTGCTGAACCCCACTTTGCCCAGAAGCTCCAGAATCCACCGGCCAGACCAGATTTGTCTGAGCCCATGAAATGTTCTCATACCAGAGCTGAAGTGACAGACAGCTCCTAAGCAGTGTCACGCACTGGCTGTGCCAGAGCCCGGTGCCCATGCTCAAAGACAAGCTGTGGAGCCCGTGTGGGAGTCTAACCACTGGCTGGTCATGCAATTAATGGCCAGCCAATAGCCATGAGTGAGTTCCCTCGAGTTTGCATGGGTTGGTGCAGCTGAATTCCTAGCAGTGTGTTTGAGTTTTCATTTCTGCAAAGTGAGCTTTTTGTTTTTTAAACCTAACTTCCAGAATATCTGGCCTAACTTTTTTGCAGGGAAACTCATTCCTTTCTGCAGAGCCACTGGAAATGTGTCCATTTGGGTGGCCGCTGAAAGATCTCATCATTTCCAAGGCCTGACTGGGGCATGTTTTGACACATGTGCTTTCTTTACTCCTAATGTGTGCAGAGTTCCTCACTGATGAGAATCCCCTGGGTCTCCTGGCCTAGGCTTGCACTCCTGGTTCCCTGCGCCCACAGTGGAGCCTTTAACCCCAGTGACAGAACGGCCACCTCTGGGCCAAGCGGGCCTGTCAGGAATTTACGCCAAAGGACCCATCCACAACCAAATGAGTAGGCAGGGTGGCTAAGTCACTAACGTGAGCGAGACTCTTCACATGGAATGCTCTAGGGGAGAAAATAAGGGCAGTGGGTGGGCATGCCTCTGAACAGTCCCACCAGTTAAAGCCGAGCCCCTCCCTCTTTATCTGAGAACTTCCACCTTGGGTGTGTGGTCACTGACTGCATCTGAAGAGGTGGCATCAAACTGGGGACTAGCAAGTGAGCCTGGGGAGTTTCTCTTTCAGAAGAGCCTCTGGAAAATATTTAAGTTCTTGGAAATTAATTAAAGTCCTCTTTTGCTGTAGATGTGTAGAGAGGGATGGCTAAGTGGGACGACAGCCCGCTGTGTGTCTCTGCCCCTTCTCAGGTAGAAGGAGAAGTGGCCAGTGAGGGCAGTCGTGAGAAAGCCTTGCTCATGAGCAAGGGACAGCAGGGTTGTGATGGGCCCCCAGGCAGTCCCTTGGACACTTTGGCTCCCTGGAAACAGACTGAAATTTCCAGTGGGCCAGGACAGCATCACAGAAACCCCCGCCCCAGAGCAGAGCTGGAGAAGGCATGTGACATCACAGAGGCCTGTAGCCTTGGGCCAGGCCCAGAAGTTCAGCACCTCGGAGCCCTCCTCTCTCAAGTGGTGGCCCAGTGCCATGCCACCTCCCCAGGAGGGCTTGCCATAGACTGTGTGGATGCAGGATGCTAAAGCTATTTAAACATAAGAGCATAAAGTTTTTGTGTTTTGCTTTCAGAAAAGGTAGTAACTAGAAATTGTTAGGTAGTCTATGGGAGGCTAAAGAGATTTAATTTTTCAGGGTTGGGATGGAACTAGGCAGGTATCCTAGTAAGTGCTGTACTCTCTGCGGGTACCTTGTAGAAGTGGGTTTCTGGTGAGGTCTGCTTTAATACAGCTGTTTCAGGCTTAGATGTTTCGGCTGTGTGATGGGCCGAGTAGACTTTGGGCAGGGCATGCTGAGCCCACCACAGGACCGAGGAGCCGAGAAGCACGACCTTGAGGTACTTTTTGGCCATCACAGTATGCAGTCTACCCCCCACCAGCTCACTGCCCATCCATGTATGTGGGTCTGTCCTCAGTCAGCCACACCGAGCAGCTGGACTCCTGGAATTGGCCAGAGTGCCATTCAAGCTCCCTTTGTCCAGGATCATTGAGGGAGAGTTGCTAAAGACAGGCGATCTGGCCACTCCTGCCTGCATTCCCCTGGATAGCCGACAGCTGACTCCCCAGGACTGCGTCATGTCAGCCGTCTCAGAGGGTTTCCGTTACTGCACAGTGTGGCTCCATAGGCTTGCTCTGGGATGTGCTGTAAGAAACACCCGTCACACTTAGCGTTTGACCCACTGCGAGCATGATGTTGGTGGATGTAGCTCATTAAATCACACCCACCCCCTCTGTGAATGCTCCCCAAAAGAAGTTACTGTCTTATCCTGGTACTGGAAAGGATGAGAAGGCTCCTGAAGCATTGGTCTGTGTTTATTTCATGGACACTCTAAATTGTGAAACAAATTATCTTCGCCTTAGAATGACTGATAGAAAATCTAGAGTCAAAACTATAGTCTCTAGCCTGCCCTGCATAGGTACTTTCCACCGCCTTCTTCGTTCTGTCTGTCGGGGTAATGGGTATGTGTGGTGTATTCCTTGGACAAACACTCTGTAATAGAACCAGCATCTAGATCACATCCTTTTAAGGCTACAGCTAAATATGATGGACTCATCCTATTACTGAAGTTGAGGAACTGAGGAGCCCTGGTGGCACAGTGGTTAAGAGCTTGGTTGCTAACCAGAAGGTTGGCAGTTCAAATCCACCAGCCGCTCCTTGGAAACCTTATGGGCCAGTTCTACTCTGTCCTATGGGGTCACTGTGAGTCAGCATTGACTCGACAGCAATGGGTTTTGGTTTTGGTTTTTTATTAACTAAATCATGTCATCCAAATTACTGAGAAATATAAGACTGACATTTGCTGTGTGTTCTTTCAGGAAATAAAAAAATTCATAAAGGGGGTTTCTGAGAAGATCAAGAAAACCAGAGATAAATATGGCATCAATGATAACGGCACAACAGAGGTAACAGCCTTCCCAGATGCGGTGGTCACCTGGTGTTTCAAGACGCCGCCTTCCCTAACTCTGCACTTCTGTTCCTTCAGCCCCGCGTGTTGTACCAGTTGGACCGGATCACCCCTACCCAGATAGAAAAGTTTCTGGAGACCTGTAGGGACAAGTACATGAGGTAGGGGTGCTGATTATCTTCGAGTTGGGGGCACTCGTGTAGGTCCCCTCATGCTCTCCAACACATGTCCTCGCAGGCACAGAATCCTGCACCAGTGCTACATGGTGACTGCCAGCAGAGAGGCCTGTCCTTGAGCGGAGTCTGTCAGCCCATCTAGGGGCCCCAACAGGTCTCTAGGCTGGGTGCTCCTAGATGTGATGATAATTACAAAGAGATTTCTGAGGGTCCTCTCCCCATGGAGAAACTGCCACAGTGCCTGTCAGGTGCCAGCTTCTCTGTCCACCTTTAGTACCGTTTGTTAGCCATGCACGTGGATCCTCACCAGCCGTGGACGGTGTGGGCCCTGTCCGACCCCTCTGTGAACAGTCACATTCCCCTTTCTGCACCTGTTCCTCTTCGGTGCTGAGGCTCTTCCTCGTCACACACAGCCTGGCTCATTGCCAGTTCTTTCCTGGCCCTAACACGTGTTTTCTATTGAAAAGCAATCATCAAAGCCTTTCCCAGCAGTTTGTTTCCATCCCTACCTTTGCTCCCTAGGGCCCAGATGGAGCCGGGCTCTGCAGTGGGCGCCCTCTGTGCCCAGAGCATTGGCGAGCCAGGCACCCAGATGACCCTGAAGACTTTCCACTTCGCTGGCGTGGCCTCCATGAACATCACCTTGGGCGTGCCCCGCATCAAAGAGATCATCAACGCCTCCAAGGCCATCAGGTGCCCAGCTCCCTCTCCCTGTTGTCACACGTAGATGTGTGATACTCTAATGGGACAGTGTCTCAAGCTCTGGGTGGTGTGTTGCATTGATCAGAATCTGGGTGTATTTGGTGAGTATAATTTGGTTCCTCGTGTGTGGTTAGCCACTCAAGAAGCAGTGGTTCTGTGTGACAGCAAGTCACGAGAGAAAACAAATCAAAAATAACAGTGCCTGGGAAAATTGGAGCAGTGTGTCAGGACAGATCTCACCCTTTGATGGCATTGTTCCTGGCCTAAATAGGCCTCTCTGGTGTGTCTGTCACTGGGGCTGTGGCCATACCCTGTGAGCCCCTGGTGATTTCATGATAGGAGTTGTGGGTAACCTGAGATGAGAAGAAATAGAAATACATTACAGTGCATTGGATGACAAGGTCAGGATTCACCTGTGCTGTGAATCTGACAGTAGATAGCATTAAGTGACAGCTGCATTTGGTCCTGCCCAGCAGCTGCAGGTGTCCAGGATGGTAGGGGCTCCGCCTGCCACCTCTGGGAGTTCAGACTGCAGTGTGCTCGGGAGAAACCACCCAGGCCACTGAGGACGGATGCTGATCGCTAGTGGTTGGAGTTGCTGGAGGTGTTCCTGGAGAGGAGATAATGGTGGTCAGGGGGAGAGGTGGAGGACGTTGTAGTATACAGTGAGTCCAATGACTCCAGAAACAGAACTAAAATAACTGCTTATTAGGATGAAAAAACAAAGCCATTGCCGTCGAGTCAGTTCCAACTCATAGCGACCCTATAGGACAGAGTAGAACTGCCCCATATGGTTTCCAAGGAGTGGCTGGTGGATTCGAACTGCTGACCTTTTGGTTAGCAACCAAACGCTTAACCACCGCTCCACCAGGGCCCCATTAGGATGAAACAAGAAGAGATACATTCACTTTGTAAGGAAGAGTTTTCTGAAAGTCATCTTATTCAGTGTTGGAGTGAGTTGCCTCAGAAGCTCCACAAGTAGCAAGTCTGAATGAGAGTGTGAAGTGAAGCCCCTGGTGGCACGCCTGCCACACAACAAATGCTCAGTAAGCTTTAGTCGCTGTTGTTATGATTGTGAAGAGTATTCGGATTTGACAAGACAGTGGTCTTCATGCTGGCTCAGTCCCAGGGTGTAATCCTTTTTCCTGTCCTCCTAGCACTCCAATTATCACAGCTCAGCTGGACAAAGATGATGATGCCGATTATGCTCGCCTCGTGAAAGGGAGAATTGAGAAAACCCTCTTGGGAGAGGTAAGAAGAAATCCCATTTGATGAAGAAACCAGAACAGCAGTCTTGCAGGAAGTCAGCCAGCCAGTTGCAGCTGATTTACCAGTCGGTCCTGTCCATTCTCTTCTGTGCCCTTAAAAGACAGCAAGCAGGGGACAGTCTAGGCAAGGGGGACTGACCCATTAACATCCTGCTCTTTTAACACTGCAGATCTCAGAGTATATCGAAGAAGTGTTTCTTCCCGATGATTGCTTTATTCTCGTCAAGCTCTCCTTGGAACGGATTAGACTTCTGAGACTGGAAGTGAGTCACATAATGAGATGTGTGCTGGATGGAAGTCATTGGTCGCAAGACAGCTGACAGACCAGGGCAAGAGCTGAGCTAGGCGCAGGTTGCATTGCAAAGGCTTCTGTTGGGTTTCTGTTTTGTGATTCTATTGTACATTCGCATTCTCTCTTTCTAACCCCGATCCTGACACGGAGATTGCCATCTAAAGACACAGGAAAGTAGCTGAAATTTTATGCAGGCCACGATATCAATTCACTTGTGACACAGTATCATGATGATCGGTCTCCTCGTGCATCTTCCCAGGGCCTGGGCAGACCACAGAGTGGGGCTATGTTGGACGCATCTGTGGGTTGCCAGCACCGAGCACAGCGCCTTGCTGTCTTGGGAAATGTATTTGGATGGGTGGATTAGCCTGGCTTTTCATATTGGCGTTTGTGGGGAGGAAACAGTTAAAAGATTATCGGCCATTCTCACAGACAGGCATCTGTCTCTCTGTCAGGTAGTTAAATCTTTTATTGTCCTGAGCTGCTGTCGACTCAGCCCCGACTAATGACCCCTTGCACAACAAATGAAGTGCTGCCCAGTCTTGCACCATCCCCGTGGTCAGTTGTGGATCGGATCGTTGCGCTCCATAGGGTTTTCACTGGCTGATTTTGGAAATTAGGTTGCCAGGCCTTTTTTCCTACTCTATTTCAGTCTGGAAGCTCTGCTAAAGTATTCTTAGCATCATAGCAGCGTGCAAACTACCACCACAGATGGTGGCTGCACATAGGGTGCATTGGTGTGTATAAAACCCCCGTCTCCTGCACGGAAAACAAGAAGTCTACCACTGAACTACCACTGTACTACCCTTTAAAACACATTGCCAGCCCTTTCTGTCAAGTACCAAATTCATTAGTTGTCCATATGACAGTTAATGGTGAAATTTAGCGGCCAGTTACCCAGCTTGGGGATTTCTCTTGCTGCCTGCCTTGTGGCTCTTTTAACAGAAGAGATGAGTTGTATGCAAGAAGGTAGCACGTGAACCATAGTGGTAATGTCAGATGAAGGGGTCTTAGCTCTCTAGTGCTACTATAACAGATGTACCACAAATGGGTGCCTTTAACACAGAGAAATTTCTTTTCTCACAGCTTAGGAGGCTACAAGTCCAAATTCAGGGTGTGGCTCTAGAGGAAGACTTTGTGTCAGCTCTAGGGGAGGGGCCTTGTCTTTTTCAGCTTCTGTTTCTTGGTTCCTTGGAGATCTCATGTGGTCTGGCATCTATCTTCCTCCAACTCTGCTTATTTGCTTGCTTGCACAATTTTCTCTTTTTGTTTCTCAAAAGAGATTGACTTAAAACACACCCTGCACAAATACTACCTCATTAACATAACAAAGAAAACTCATTCCCAGATGGGATTGTGACCACAGGTGTAACCAAAACCCAAACCAAACCCATTGATGTAGAGTCGATTCTGACTCATAACAACCCCCTAGGACAGAATAGAACTGCCCCATAAAGTTTCCAAGGAGCGCCTGGTGGATTTGAACTGCCGACCTTCTGGTTAGCAGCTGTAGCTCTTAACCACTACGCCACCAGGGTTTCCAACCACGGGTATAGGGGTTAGGATTTACAACACATATTTTGGGGGAACACAATTAATCCATGACAAAGGGGAAGCTTCACTGAAGCTTTTAAAATTGTTCTGGTCTCCAACCTACAGCTCTTTGGAGCTTCCCATGGTGGGTCTGGGGTATTGCTATGAATTGGGCATGTATTTTTAAGAGGGGCAAAAGTTGATTCTGTGCTGTGAAGAGATGAAAAAAGTTACTTTTTTATGATAAAGCACAGATGATATACAAGTCCACCCAGAGGTGCCTTGGAAGAAAGACCTGGTGATCTGCTTCCAAAAAATCAGGCTTTGAAAATCCTATGGGGTAGCATTCAACTCTGACACACATGCGGTGGCCATGGTTGGACTCACCTGATTTTTTGGTTGTGTATATAGTACGCAAACAGCTACGCAATATATTTTTCGTGTCTTTTGATTATACATACAGTATATAAACAGATATGCCAAGTATCTATGGTATTAAAATTTCATTGGGAGACCAGGAAAACATGGCTGAAAAGAATTCTTAGGAGGGCAGTAAAGAAACAAGGTTGAGAAACCCTGGAACTGAAGCCTCTGAGCCTGTCAGTGATGTCCTGGTGTGCGGTCCACACCGGTCCCTTGCAGGTGAACGCTGAGACGGTGCGGTACTCCATCTGCACGTCCAAGCTCCGTGTGAAGCCAGGCGATGTGGCTGTGCACGGCGAGGCTGTGGTGTGTGTCACCCCCAGAGAGAACAGCAAGAGCTCCATGTACTACGTGCTGCAGTTCCTGAAGGAGGACCTCCCCAAGGTGAGACTCAGTGTATCCGCGGGGCCCCTGCCCACCCTGATGCCTCGGGACTCAGGAAGCGTGAAACAGCATTGGCCTGCAGTGTGAACACCAGTGTCAGGGAACCCTGAGGACTCTGTCATGCTGACACCACCTCTGTGACTACTGAGGCTGAGGGTGGTGCCCCATTTTCTTGGCCACATCCTAAGGGGTCAGTCTTTTTTTTCCCTTCTTAGCACTGCCATGCCAGCTCCGCCTGTTGGATTTCTCTCCCCGCTCTCCCAAAACTGTAGGTTGCAGCACAATCCCCTGGCCTTCTGCTTTCCTTCCTAACCCACAAAACAACACACGGGCACTTTTAGGTGTAGTATGCTGCTGATAATCACCACTGACAAGTGGCACTCCCGACTGTGACTCAGCAGCTTCTCCCACCGACGTGGGTTCCGAGGCTGCTGGGCCGGGGAACATGCGCACTGCTGTGTCTCCAGCCTCCTTGTCTCTGGATCCAGGTGGTGGTGCAGGGCATCCCAGAGGTGTCCCGAGCTGTCATCCACATCGACGAGCAGAGCGGGAAGGAGAAGTATAAGCTTCTGGTGGAAGGCGATAATCTGCGGGCTGTCATGGCCACACATGGGGTGAAGGGCACCCGGACCACCTCCAATAACACCTATGAGGTACGGCACAGGGGCTGGGGCCTGTTAATAGTCCTGTCTCCCCGTGATGCCTTCCACACGCCCTCATCGGGTTTTAGCACGTTTCTCTGTCCCTGCCGTTTGGGTCTACGGCTGAAAATTGCTCAGCAGTCCATTTGTGGCAGACGGCATCGGGTTTGCTTTAAACTGGCTGAGCAGAGGGAGAAGTGGAGATAGAATCCTAGAAGTGGCCTCTTTCACCCATTCCTGGTTCTCCGCAGGTGGAGAAAACCCTGGGCATCGAAGCCGCCCGGACAACGATCATCAATGAGATCCAGTACACGATGGTCAACCACGGCATGAGCATCGACAGGAGGCACGTGATGCTGCTCTCGGACCTGATGACGTACAAGGTGCGGGAGCGAGTCCTGGCAGTTTGGCTCCCGGGTTCCAGAGAGCAAGGCGTTTAAGACCTATGGAGAGTGCACTGCTGTTACTGATCACCACAGTGGTCATGCTGGGGGTTCTTGGTAAAACCCCTGATACAAAAAATTGTGACTTTATGGCAAACTGTCACATCCAGTTGGTTGAGTGAGGAGGAGAGAGAGACTGTGTTTAGTTATTTATTTTATTATACATTGTATCCTAAAGCAAAATTTGTTGTTATAGGGGGCCTTCCCTCCAGTCGATTTGGACGCATAGCAACCCCATGTGACAGAGTAGAACTGCCCCATAGGGTTTTCTTGACTGTGATCTTTACCAAAGTAGATTGCCAGGTCTACGGAGAGCCGCTGGGTGGGTTTGAACTGCCAGTCTTCCTGTTAGCAGCCAAGTGCTTAACCACTGCGCTACCAGGGCTCCTTAAAGCAAAACTAGCCATTGCCAAAAGCCCAGGGATTTCTGTGGTGTGTATTCTGTGAGACACATCCGTCATATTTCTTCTAGAGCCATTTCCAGGTAAAGAATGAGTACATGTGCCCTGAAGTGGGGAGCTAGGGATGGCTGCGATTGGTTAGTTGGTTACTTTTTCTTTTTTTCCCAAAAAACAGTGTTCCCTGTAGGGGGGCCATAGGGCAGCAGCTTTTTCTTAATGTGTGTGCAGTTTTTATCCTAAGTTTTTATTTAACGTTGTAGTTTCTATAATATATAGTTTTTATAAATATGCTTTTTTGATGATGGCACAATATGCCTTTGAATGCAAGTACCCAAATTTACTTAACTCTTTCCCTACCTTGAGACATGTAAATTCATTCAGTTTCTAGTTCTTTGAGCCCTAATGAGCATCTTCAGAAGTGCTGCTTTTTCTAAAGTTAGGTTCTTAATTCTAATTCTCACTCAAATACTATTTTTATTTCTTAATTCTTTGTTCCAACAGTATCTAGCTGTGAGTGTAAAGACTCATGTGGTCAGTGACTAATGGCCTCTGGGGCACATAGTTGGGACAAATGGCTGTTAAGATCCTTTTCCCACCGAAGGTTGTGACTTGAACAATGGTTTGGCTGGGTTTTGCCTATTCTGGTGAGGGGATATGGTGGACATGATTTGGTTTTCGCTTCTGTAAGTGGTCTGAGTTCTCTGCCTCCTTCTCCCTTGGTGCAGGGTGAAGTCCTGGGCATCACAAGGTTTGGCCTGGCAAAGATGAAGGAGAGCGTGCTGATGCTGGCGTCCTTCGAGAAGACAGCGGACCACCTCTTTGACGCTGCCTATTTTGGGCAGAAGGACTCCGTGTGTGGTAGGTTCAGCATGGAACTTAGGACCATCATCAAGGGCTTCCATCCTTCACAGCATAGACAGGGGCCAGGGCTTCCGTCCTTCACAGCGTAGATGGGGCCCGGGGCTTCCGTCCTACACAGCGTAGACGGGTCCCGGGGCTTCCGTCCTTCACAGTGTAGACGGGGTCCCGGGGCTTCCGTCCTTCACAGCGTAGACGGGGTCCCGGGGCTTCCGTCCTACACAGCGTAGACGGGTCCCGGGGCTTCCGTCCTTCACAGTGTAGACGGGGCCCGGGGCTTCCGTCCTACACAGCATAGACGGGTCCCGGGGCTTCCGTCCTTCACAGCGTAGACGGG